CGCAGGCCCGCGCGGGGGCGGGTGCCCTCCAAACATCCCAAATGCCCCCGATAACGGTGGCTGCGGCCTGCAGGCGCTTATCGCCGCGATGGAGCCTGCGTTGCACGTGCTCCGCTGGTTTGTTTGGTTTTGCTCCTTTTACTCCCTTTTGCAGCTCTCGTCTCCCTTGCTTTCTGTTCCCTCCGCTCCCTCGGCAAATGTTGGCTTGTGGGAAAAACCCCGCAAAGGAAGTTAAAAAAAAAAAAAGGGATAAATCAATTGTGTTGCATCCGCCCCCGGCTTTCCCTGGGACGGTATTTGCAGTAGGGTTTCAGTGTCAGAAAGCGCTGCAAACAGTGCACGTGTTCGCGTTTGCTCAGGCAATCGCGCAGCGCGCGCTTCCTGCGCGGGCCAACCAGCCGCTTGTGTTTCGGTGCTGTCCAAGCCTGGACCCCTGCCCGGGCACCTCACCCGCCCCGTCCCAGGGGCTTCAGGCAGCAAAGAGTCCCATTGGGAGAGCTCAAGGGCGAAAGCAAAAGCAGAGGCGTTTTCCTCGGGCTCAGATGGCAACAGGATTAGCTCCTTCCTTACCTGGGCACCCCAGTGGCTTTAATGCTGGCTGGGTGTCCCTTGCCACTGTCTGCCTGTGCATCCCCGCGGGCTGGCTCGAGATGTGCTGGGCAACCCCAGCGAGGTTTGTGAGAGAGGCGGTCTGCAAAGTGCCACTATATTTCACAGAAAGCGGCAGCTGGATGGGAGAGAGAGCGAGCCCATTAGTACCATCCCTGAGGGCGAGGTTAATTAGCTCAGTATCAGACATCAGAGAACCCACGTGCACGGGGTGGCGGGACGGAGCCTGGATCAGCTCCGAGCCGATGCTCCCGCTTTGCTCTGGGACTCCCGAAAAAGGCTGGGGGTTGGAGATGGGGATCCCCAAAGCAGATTGCAACGGCCTGAGGATGTTCCCACATGGAGAAGTTCATCCTTGTGCCCGCGCTGGCCCCGTCCCTGGGCCCTCCAGGGGGAAAAAAGCCCCGTGCCTCCTAGACTGCAATGTCAGGGCTGTGGCTTTCAGGTCTGCTTATCCTGGAGCCTTTTACAATGGCAAGGTTAAAAACTGATAGTGCAGGGGCTGCTGGCAACTGCCAAATTTCCAGTGCTGACTGCAACAGTCTTTACGTTGCTGCACAATCAAGTGGAAAAGTTCTGATAAAGCAACTGAAAGCACGCTGAAAACCACACACATGAGGAGCCAGGGGACAGAGCTCCCCACTCACTCTGTAGCAGCACAAACGTGGGCACTTAGCACAGTGTGCACCATGCCAGGGTTGTTTTTTTTTTTTGTGTGTGTGTGTGTGTCACATTGGATCTGTGCGCTGTGATTGTTTAAAGCCTCCAGAGGGGACTGCGATATTTTTTCCTTCCTTCCTTCCTTCCTTCCCTGCTAACGAGAAAGGGCACCCGTAAGGAGAGGGAGCTCCGCTCCCCCGGTGTCCCTCCCACTGGCAGGAAAATGTGGGAGCGGAGGAAAGGAGCTGTTCCCCAGCGGGCACTTGCAAGAGAGATGAGCGGCACAGGGGAACTTTGCTGTGCTGGGAATTCATGGCGACACCGGGACCTGGTGATACGGATGCGGGGTGATTGCGTCCATGCTGCAGATGGGGACAGCGGCGCAGCTTACACGTTTCGGTGATGCAACATCCCCGAAACTGCCAGTTTCAGGGAAAGGGGGGAAAAAAAAGAGCATGGAAAGCTGTGGAATTGCCAGCTCTCGGCTTTCCATGCTGCCTTTCAGCTTTTCCCTCCTAAGTCTCGTCACTGTGTGGGAAGGATCCCTGCTAGAGTGCCCTGCCTGTCCCCCGCCCCCTTCCATCGGGAGCCTGTGGGAGACGGCGATACGGCCCAGATGGGGCCCAAGAGCGTCTCGCCTGTGCCTGGCCCGGGCCGAACAATCGCCCTATTCTTCTGGCGAGGAAGTGGGTGCTGTTTGCCGCTTCCTCGCGTGAGGAAGACGTGGTGAACGCCAGCCTCCTGCTGGGGCGGATCCTGTCCCACTCATTCCCAACCCAGGCTTCTCTTCCCACCCGCTTCCTGCCCTTATCTGCTGGCTTATCAGGAGCGTAGTGTCCTTTTCCAGGATGTGCCCATGGGCCAGGACGCACCACATGCCCTGGGAATGGATATGGTGGTGATAACTGCTAGGCTGCCAGGCGTAAAGCTCTGGCCAGAAGGAGACCCTCAGAGTGCATGGGGTTTCCCCAGGAGCTGGTGGAGCCCGTTTCCTTGAGGAGCTTATTCCAAGGGGTATAAAAGGGGTGGCTGGTTTCCTTCTTGGCAGCAAGGAAGAAATGACCCAGGAGTTTTTCTTCCCACAGCCTTGGTCACACCAAAAAAAAACTGAGAAAATAGATTCCTTCCTGCAAAGGAAGGAATTCAAATTGTTGAAGTCAGAAAAAAAAAAAAAGGAAGAAAAAAGAAAGCTTTCCAAAGGGCCATCCGAGGTGTTTAACCTGCCTCAATCATGCTGGAACCACTATTCCCTACCAGTGCCCCCTGTCCATACTCTCCCTTGGAGCTACGTGTTGCAGGGACTGATGTTCCCCTCTGCTAAATTCCCCCCTGGGCTGGGGCTGTTGCAAGGAAATCACCTTTTCCTGTTGCCTGCAAGGGAAGCCTTCTCCAAGATCCCTCTTTTTCCAAGCTGGCTGGGCTGCGGTACAGTCTCCATCCCCGGTGCAGAGCTGCGTCCCCACGCTCGATCCCTTTATCTGCCCCAGCAGGGCTGCCGAGATATCTGCTCTGCTTCCCCAGCTGCAGCCAGATGAGGCTTTTATCTCATCGCCAGGCTCTCTTCCTCCGTTTCCCTCTTTGGTTCTCCCCTAACTCTTGCAACAGAGTGGAGAAAAAAAGCAAGGGTGGACAGGACGGACACCAGATCCCACGGGATGGGAGATGCTGTGGCAACCCTCTCGGTGCGCTGGGTGACACTCAAGAGATGCTTGGGCAGCGTTCAGCGGGGATGCGGGCAGGATGTGGGCGATGCCGGGGTGATGCCAGAGCGATGCCGGGGTGATGTGTCCCGCGCTGCTGTGGGCTGGCAGCTCCACCTGCCGGCAGGCAGCGTCCCCAAAGTAGAGGAGAGCCCATGGACACTGAGCTAAGGGCCACGGAGGAGCGAGGTGTGAGCGGTGGGCACCGCAAGACAGTTCCTGGTGAGAGATGATCCCTCTGTGCTGCTGCATGGTGGGGAAGATCGTCAAGTTACCTTGGAATGTTCAAGCAAGCTGGGGATTTTTTGGCACTACTGGGCCAGCTCAGGTGTTGGACTTTGCTGCGGGTGTCTTCTGCAGCCTGCCGTCTCCTCACCTCGGATGACCTGGCTTTGCTCCCTGGAACAGCCATGCTGGGGAGCCTTTGGGTTAGCCTGCCAGGAGCTTTCCAATGTGACCATGTTGCTGCTAGAGACATGTGGAGAGATGCAGAGCTGGCCAGCTAGGCCCTCTTGGGCACCAGGACCTGGAGAAATATTGCTTCTCTGTTGCTTTTTCTAAGGTGACCACATGTGATGGGGTCTGCGTGGGTGCTGGGGGAACAGGAGAGGGCTTGGGGATGCTCCCAGCAAGTAACCAGCATGCCTCTGCTTTCGTCTTCCCTCTCCAGGCCAGCCACATAACCTCTTCCATCGCCCAGGCAGGGGCGGACGCCAGCAGCGAGCTCTAGATGGCCGGGAAACGGCATCTGGAGTCGCTGGACCCTGTGCTTTTCACCAAGCTACCTCGCCTTGAGCCTGAGCCGGGGCTCTGCAAAGCGTCTCCCGTCCCCGACAGCCCTTGCAGCTACAAGGGCTCCTACTTCGCCTGCTCGCTGGCTGGCCACGATGTCCCCGCGCCGCC